TGTAATTTAACATCCAAGCAGCATAATATCTCCACGGCCTCCAGGTTTCTGTTGTATTTTGTTTTTTCAAGGTGTGTTTCTCTTTACTCATCTGCATTGCTGTTTTTAGTAACGATTTGGCTTTATTACTTCTGTGTGTTGTATATCGAGCAAGGCGTGTAATATAGGAAACATAATTGTAATATAAAGTAGCTCGATGATCTAGCTGCACTTGCTTGTGGATCCATCATTTGCTCTTTACATTTACTGGGTTGTGTTGTTTTCTAGAATAGATGTGGCGATATATAAGTTGAAAATGAAAAAGAGAAAAAATAAAAGAATAAGCTTTGCCATGGTTGGAGTAAATTTGGTCACCAGCTAAATTAACCTACTGATTGGTGCAGAGAATGGAAATGGAACCTGGGAAGCTGTTCATTGGTGGGATTTCTTGGGACACCAGTGAGGAGCGTCTGAGGGAGTATTTTCAGACTTTTGGTGAGATTAATGAAGCTGTGATAATGAGGGACCGCACTACGGGCCGGGCCCGTGGTTTCGGTTTCATTGTTTTCGCTGATGCTTCTGTTGCGGAGAAAGTTGTCAGAGAAAGGCACGTCATAGATGGCAGAATTGTGAGTAATGAATTTTTGTATTTTGTATAGAGTTTGTGAAATGAATATATTGCACTGCATTTTAATTCTCGAATCATGTCTCTGTCATAAAGAATTTTCTGCAACTATTTTGTGAGATTTCTAAGAGTTCAAAATTCTAGTGTAATCAATTTGTGCACTATACATGCATAGGCGTTTCTCATTCTCCTTTTTGTCTTCTTTCTTGTTTGTTTGAGCACTAAACAAAACAAGCATATCGGCACAACATGTAAATTTTCTTTGAGCTCTTATCCTTTTGCTCTTCATCTTTCTGTTCCGTTTCACTACATGTAGTAGTAATTTAGAGGTTCTGAGGGTACTTAGATGATATTTGAGTTAGGTGCAGGCCGGAATAGTTAATGACTGTTCGCAAATCAAGAAACAGGTTGTTTCAGCTAGTCTTTACTAATGGATTTGTGGCGGTTGGTTTGTCATCTACAATGATAATACTTGTAAACCTTGTGATACATTGGCAATTGGCACAATAAATTATTAAGGCCTAGACAAGCTGAAGGCCTTGGTTGATCTTCAGACTTAGCCTTATGAGAATCTATAGGCAATTGCTAATTGTTTCGTTCGTTGCCTTGATGACCTCATTGACTATTTGACTTATGTTCTTATTACATACTGTTTTTCGAAACAGCCCTTTTACTACTTGAATCAATCAATCATGTTCATAGTTAAATTTTTTTATTAAAAAAAAAACACACACACACACAATGTATATTACCGAGGTCTTATTCAAGAATACTGATTAATTTACCTCATTTTACTTTTTTTCATAATAACTTTTAATTCCCTTCCCCTCTCCCGATATCAGGTGGAGGCCAAAAAAGCTGTTCCGAGGGACGATCATCAAAACTTCAGCAGAAACGGAAGCATTACGGGCTCCCCAGGCCCGGCCCGAAGCACAAAAAAAATCTTCGTCGGTGGCCTGTCATCAACCGTGACAGAGACCGACTTCAAACGCTACTTTGACCAATTCGGGACAATCACTGACGTTGTGGTGATGTACGATCACAACACCCAAAGGCCCAGAGGTTTTGGGTTCATCACTTACGACTCGGAGGAAGCCGTGGATAAGGTTCTGTTCAAAACCTTCCACGAACTCAACGGGAAGATGGTCGAGGTCAAACGGGCCCTTCCAAAGGAGCTCTCCCCAGGGCCCGCACGCAGCCCGTTGAACAGGGTGAGCAGTTTTCTTGGTGCTTATTATTCTCCCATGAGGATGACCCTGACCAGAAGCGGATACCCGTCTTACGGCCCGTCTAACTATAATAATAACAACAGCAGTGTGGGGCTGAATCTTGATTCAAGCTTCGGTCTGAATTACAGGCCGGGCCTGGATTTGGGCTTGGGTTCTTACTACAACAGTGGGAATGCGAATCATTTTGGGCCGGTGGCGAATAATGCAAATCAGAGCCCATGGAACAGTAATGGGGGTGTTGATAATTATTACAGTTCGAACAATGTGAGTTCGAAAGGTTTTGGCGGGTCGGGTGGCAATTTCGGGAATATAGGGGAAATTTGGGGTCAAAGCGGAAGGGGAAGTGGTGTGTTTGGCGATGGGAATATTATTAGCTATGGCATTGGAGAAGATGAGAGTTTCGGTGGGAGGGGAAATGAGAATGGTAGAAAAAATGGAGGCATGACATTTTCATATGCTGTCGGCAAAAATATTCATGATGATGGTTTTGGGAATTTGTATGGGGGGGATTTGTTTTATGCGGATAACGGTTGGCGTTCGTCTTCTCCCGAGGTTGAGGGCGCGTTTGGTTATGGGCGTGGTGCAAATGACGACTTGGCCCCTAACAACTCTGTTGGTTATGTTGGGGGTTATAGTGTTAATGCTAGGACTAATAGAGGTGAGAATTTATAGTTCCTTCTTTATCTACTTCTCGTGATACACTTTTTTGGTTCTCTTTGCTAAAACTATCTTTTGCTCCTACGTATGTGGTATAAAAAGGGAAAATTACAAGTTATTTTTTTTTTTTTTTTCNTTTCTTGATCTTGAAGAGTACTTAAATCTACCCTACTAGATATAATTGCGAAAGAACTCTCAAGGGTTTTTTAACACTGTAAAAATACTGTTATTCTTTAACTTTTCTAACTTTTTTTGTAATAATTACTCAACATAGTAGGTGTGCCTTATGTAATTTAGTAATCTTCATAGAAAGTTATTTGAATGTGTTGGAGTTGAATCAAGATGCAGTTGTAATAAGATACCAAATTGATAGCGAATGGTATAAATCTATAGTACTGACTTGTTTGCTGTTTCAAATTTTGCACCAGGAATTGCAGCCTAGGAACATATTACTTTTATGGGATACGATAAAACCTAGTTGGCGATATGATATATACAAGTGGAATCAAACATGGAGGACTGTAATCAAGAAATGATCTTTGGTGGAGATAATTGAGCCAAGAAGTACATCAGCAGGTGCAAAAAGGTTTTTGTTGAAACTTGAGCTTTTCCCTACATAGGCTTTGCTTTGTTTTTTGAGATGTGCAAAATTGGGTTGCAAGATATTACGAAGTATGATATTTTTACCATTCATCTTTTTGTGTAACTGTTGAGGCATGAGGGCCCTTATTCTTTATATTTAAACTTCCTTTCGAGTTTTCTCTTGCTGTAAGCGCAGTGTAATCATCACCTAACAATGTCTTTAACTCTGGGCGAAGTCATGCCACTATTATTTACTACGATAAATCTTCCTCGTCTCTTTTTTCTTTTTCTTTTTTTTTTTCGGTGTTCCTACTGAGATTTTTATCATGTGTTGCTTTTTAAGCTGCCTTGTTCTTGTTTATTATGTATCTTGTACATGCGTTTTCTGTATAGTACGGCTTACTCCTGTCGCGTGGGGCTTTTTTCGTCTTTCTGGCTTGTGGATATTCATGGCCTTGATTTGGACATAATTTGAACACAAACTTTTGATGGGGAAATGATATTCTCACGTTCAAGCCTTTCTTTATTCACCAGTTTTTACTTGTAATGAATGTTGACATTGTTTATACACTTCGTTTATCTTGATGTTTGAGGAAAATTTGATGACTACATAATAAATGTCGATCCCTATGACAATAACGCCCCATTACCTACTTCTTGAAAAACTCGATACAATACTCATAACTCACTCGGTTATTACAAGGAAAATTGTGGTCCAGTTTTAGCCTCGTTTTTTCTTTTTCCTAATTATTGAAAACTACTACTATCAAGTACCAATTCATGCTCAGAATGGAGAGACTAAATTAGGTAGACAACACACTATGTTAAAAGTCTACGTGCTAGCTAGGGCAATCAGTAGGATACAATTAAAAGTACCAATTTATGATATGTATGCATATGCAGAACATTTGTGTTGACATTTTGTCTGTCTCACTGATTAATGAATCAAGCATGATTAACTAACTTATTTATTAATAAATCAAGTCAATAGGTTTCAAACGAACATTCCAGTCGAGCATTCATGGACACACAAATTGTGTTTCTGAACTTGTGATCATTTGGTCACTCGAGTTGTACTCATGTTTGAGTGTATACATAGTTGTTATATGCCTTGGGAAAAAAAAAATAGATCATTTATAACTCCACGTTTGTTAAGCGAGCAGAACTAAGCTTACCTACTGATTGAGATATACCAAATAACCCTATTTAGACGATCGATTATTCTTTGAATCTCAACATCGTGACTGACTTTCTCGTCTCAGTACTTACAAAAACGTTGGGAGGATTCCTGACGTAGAGCCTCCGACGATCAAGTCAATCCCTCGTGTATAATGTGTTTATGGAAAAACAGAGCGTAACGTAACAATAACCATACATCCACTTTTATAGAAGAGTAGTTACCTTGCTCCTTGAGAACTACATTCCTTCAAAGAAACCAATCATGCACATATCTTTTTGTGATAGATCTTCTTCCTTATATTCTAAATTCCCAAGATCGTCACCATCATATCCTTTTTATTCTTAGATGTCGTACGATTAACGATTATTAGCCTTTTAGGTCGGCCAAAGGGTGCGACTCTATTAGCTTTTTAGGTCAGCCAAAGCCACCCTCTGGAGCTAGACCCGCTATCTCGTACCAGTTCGATACCCAAGGTTTCAAGTCACTCGGATACCAACTCAGTAACTCAACCTACCCTCCTTAAGGAACTATCTCGACCTACTCGATCTATCGCCTTTAGGTAAAGGTAAGAGAACTCCAGTCTAGAACCGAGCTACACAAGAGCCCCAACTATTTATGCTATATCAACTACGTACTCCCATCCACTTTGTCCATACGAGCTCTAGCGCATGTGGGCACAAGTCGATAAAGGGAGCTCCGACAACGATTGAATACGTGTGTTAGAAACGCTTCAAAAAAATTGTACCCATCGTTTAAAAAAAAAAAAACACTCCTGCTAATTCACATATTGACGTGTGGGCAATCCACCGTTTGATTTGAAAGTATAACCCCAGATGAGACGATCCTTAATCACCTGACCTTTGACTTGCTCGGCTCAGTCCTATAAACCCCCGATTCATCCCGATTTTACATTTTTCCACCATCTACAATTTATAAGCACTAGTACACAAAATCCCAACGCATTTCTCTCTTTCTTGTTCGCAATTACCTTGTTCAAGCCACTCCCTAACAACACATGAGTATGTTCTTCTGATTCTCTTGCATCATCTCTATCTATTGTTACTTTTGTTGTTTTTTCGACATTAATCAGACCCCACGTTACTCACATAAATGAGCCACACTTTATCGTCTCCCCGATTGTTTTTTACTACCTCTTCAGAACTATGTCTCAAAACTAACACTCTGACCGCAACATAAATCAAAATGTGCTAAACTTTGATACCTACTTCCCTTTCGTTGCTATTTTAGACTTACTTTCTGAACCTCTATTTGAAATCCTCCCCTTCTAGCTCGTAAAATGAGTGGGGCCTAATTGTTTTTAAAAACATATATAATGGATTGTATTGGAGTTGTATAGGAAATATCGGGTAAAATACCGATCAAGAATAAATAAAGCTATAAAAATATATAAAATAAAAGAGAATTTGGCTATTTGCTTAAAAATAAAAACTTCAACTTGTAGACTTATTTTTATGTTATTGAGAAGTTGAGAGTTAGTAAATATAATTATTTAATTTTTTCATAATTGATATTAAACTTTATATATTTATTATATTTGGTATTTCAATAATACCAAGGATATAACCGGTTGGACCGGTAATACTATGTGGATAGTATCATAGATGGATATAACTTTGGGAATGCTCTAAAATCTAAATCTAAATATACATGGAAGTCCTCAAAGTCATAGCATGGACGAATCCGAATCCGTGACACACCACTAGCGTACATTTTAGATTAGTTAATTGATTTTGATGTCAACGACCTAATAACTACAATTCAATCTCCAGTCTAATATTTTGGGTTTGGGGCCCGAAAGCTTGCTTTAACCAAACCTTGGCCCGACCCGTCCTCTTCTGCTTCCGCCATTAATTTCTACTGTCCCCAAACTGTAAAATCTCTATCTATCTTTCATCAAATCGTGAAACCTAACCTAGTCTCCCAAAACCCATAACCGTTGAAAGACTGATTTGATTTTCTCCTCTCTCTCCTCAGCTACGTGTGAATATTGTTCCTTTTTCCCCTATTTGCCTGGCTCACAGCCTACTTGATCTGCATTTTAACGGTTCTGATTTGACCATTAGAGCTTTCAGGAGCCAAAGATTTGAAGGGAAAGGTCGCATTCTGCAAGAAGCTGGTACGCTTTTCATTTCCCTTTTTAATGGTCAGCTAGTTTTCCTCTGTTTCATTGCGTTTTNATGTTATTTCGTGAAACCCTTTTGTTTCTTGTGTTTGATTTAGCTGAATATATTTTGACTTTTTTTTTTCTCGGTCTATTCTGATATTGAAGTTAAATATGATAGCTTTCTTTCATGGGCCATAAGAAAGAAAGATCAGGACCAAAATTTGATAGTGAAAAACGAAAATTCTACTAAATTGTTTTGGTCAACAGATCATTCAGAATTGTTTGAAGACGATTTTACCTGTGGTAAAAACTCTGCAAGACGACACTATTTAGAGCTTTTGTGGGGAAACTGTTTTCCTGTTGATTATTGTGAGCTGAAAGTGGTTGAAATTTTTTCATGAGCTGCAGTTATTTGGAAATATGGTTATTTCTTGAACATACACTAACACCTGAATGATAAACTCCACTTATCTTTGATTATGTGATAAATATCCGTGCTAAATTACGCTTTGTTCATAGTCGCTGAGTGTTCGGATTGCTAGTATTGGGATCAATGAACTGGATTGTTGACAATTTCATTAAATTCTAGATCATGGAATTGTTATCTTTTATTTTCTCTTTACCAATCACTAGATGAATTTTGGGTTGATACAAGAAAGATTTCAGTGCGATTCAGTTAATCCGGATGCACCTTAATTTTTGCACATATGTGCTCAATAAGGCTTCATCGTCTGGTATATCATATTGCGAAACTTTGCTTTAAAATGTGAAATGCCATTATATAATTATAACAATTTCTGCTTTGATTGAATAGCCTGCATCCATAACACCAAACATAAAGGTTCTGTTTGCTATTATTTGTCTTTGAGGTGGCCTATTAACTCTCTGGAATATTTTTTCTGATAAAACTGTGTGTGTGTGTGTGTGTGTTTCTTCCGTATGTCTTAATTTATTGTCTTTTATGTTAAAAATATCTTTGTATATGGAGGTACGATGAGTGTTGAGCTTTTACGCAACTCTTCTCTTCAGGTTTTTAAAGAAGAGGAATTCAGAGGGCAAGTAGGGAATAATAGCAATAATATGAGAAAGGATCTGGAGGCATTGTCAAGTTAAGAGGCATAATACATGTAAGGAAGTGCTTGGAAAGCAATGCAAGTGTCTTTAAGTTAGAAAATACTGAGAAAACTCCAATTTTTTTCTTTTTCTTTCTTCGTAAAGCTATGCAAGATGGATTCACCTTAATACCAATGAAAATATATTCACTAAACCTGCATGGGATTTCGGTTTCTAATGCTTCCTTAACAATGCAGGTGCTTTCCTTACGCCCTTCACCTTTTCCAGAAGGGCTACCGAATCAAAATTTGACAAAGAGCTCATAATTGCACGTGTGTATGTTAGAAAAGGCTTTAAGAGACAAATGGCCTTTTATAATGCCGGAGAACAACAAACAGAGGATTACCTTTTTAAGATTGTTCTGATTGGCGACTCGGCTGTCGGTAAATCGAACTTGCTTGCCAGATTTGCTCGGGATGAGTTTTATCCTAACTCGAAATCGACAATCGGAGTGGAATTTCAGACCCAAAAAATGGAAATTAACGGCAAAGAGGTTAAAGCACAGATATGGGACACTGCTGGCCAGGAGAGGTTTAGGGCTGTTACTTCCGCTTATTACAGAGGTGCTGTTGGGGCACTCGTGGTGTATGACATCAGCAGGCGTCGAACTTTCGAAAGTGTTGGTAGATGGCTAAACGAACTCCACAGTAAGTGATTTATATATATATATATATATTAAATTTTTTGTGGCTCATAAATGCTTCAACTAAAAATTACTCCTCGTGAAATTCTGAGTGTTCGTTGAGTTTTTGTGAAGTATTTTATTTATATGTTAAAGACAAAACAGATGTAGAAATAAAAATCTTTTATCGACACCTGCATTTGGATTCTAATTAAATAACCGATGATCAGAAGCACGAGTTTTGCAGATAAAACTTCAAAATTTGTTGTTTATTTCCTTTTTTTAATTAAAACCTGGTAACAAAGTTGTAACAATTATTATCACTGAACAGCTTACTCAGATATGAATGTGGTGACAATATTGGTGGGCAACAAATCGGACCTGAGGGATGCTCGTGAAGTGACAACTGGCGAAGGCAAAGCCTTGGCCGAGTCTCAAGGGCTCTTCTTCATCGAGACCTCGGCCCTCGACTCCTCTAATGTAGCATCTGCCTTTCAAACGGTTGTGAAGGAGATTTTCAGTATTTTGAGTAGAAAAGTTATTCAGTCTCAAGAACTCAAAATGAAAGATTCTGGGTGGATGGAGAATGGGAAAACAACAACAATTGTTTTACAAGGTGATGAGAATACGGAAAGTGAAGCCCAACAGAGTAGAAAAGGTGGGTGCTGTTCGTCGTGATTGTTCGTTGTTGTTAAATGAATGGTTTTTGTTCTTACTTTTTCTAACCTTCTTCCTGGTTTTTGACTCATTATGTGTGGGAGCCCTT